CTCAAGGTTTAATACATTCGCCATTTTGGTAATTATCATTTCAAATTTGCAAAGATGTGGACATGTTGGATACATCAAACAGTCAGCTTAGAAGGCCCGGTAATCAAAACCCATCTTAGATTGCATTCAATGGATTTTATTGAAAATATGATAGTCTTCTGATTCCGAATCTGAAATTGTTCAAGGTAGTATTCATCATGAATAACCCTACACTCTAAGATTATTTACCGAAATCTCAACAGCTGAACGTTCGGTAAACAGTTCGGTGACTTTTTACAGATTTCCTGTAATTTTTCACATATATTCGGTGAAAAATTACAGGAAATCTAGAAAAAATCACCGAACTGTTTACCGAACATTCAGCTGTTGAGATTTCGGTAAAATTTCACAGATTTCGGTGAAATAATCTTAGTGTGTAGTAGTTGATGTACGAATAATATACATTTTGGTAACCCCATGTCAATGCACCCGCAGTTTCTTCTTTTGGTTGTATAAAAAAACAATTGACACCGTCTTCAACCAGACAACGCACAACACAAAAGGCAAGTTAGGAAATTTTATTTTTACGAAAAGTTCAACCAGCTGGTGCGGAAATCGAATCCTCAGTTCTTGGCATGCACAATACGCCTGAACGACGGGTGACGCCGCTAACCGAATTACCACTAAACCCACAATAGATGACGTTGACGGTGACTCTGTAGCTCTTGGTAAAACCCATAAGAAAACGTCAGACTGTGCGTGAAACATGGCGGACTTCATACTATTCTTTCACTCCACCGAAAATTCTCTTAAGAAACTGTCAATCTTTGCTAGACGAGACGATTTTTCGAAGGTGCAATCAACGACATTACCCACACAGAACTGGTATATGCCTAATATATGGCTTATTAGGTTTATAGTAACCGGATTACTGCTCTATATGGTCAAAAGCTCGCGCAACACGAGAAAAGGGCCTATCATTGTTGATCGATTCTCGTCATCGACTTTCTCTTTCGCGAATGACCCGACTACAAATAAATTTTCCAATCTGTGTGTTGTTTAAGGCACATCCAACATCATCTTCTGTCGAACTGTGTTGCGAGCTTAGTGAGAAATTCGTTTATGTTGCCGTGGCAAACCAAAGAAAAAAAATCTATGAAGAGAAACGATCAACGAGGATAGGCCCTTTTCAAATATTATGCGAGAAATATCCATAGTTAATGAGGTACAACGTCATCGCCAGCAATTATTTGGTTTCTTTACACCATTTGAATAAAAGTGTCAACTTTTGCACCCTAGTTAATATTTATTAATAAATTAATTAGGTAACACCAGATTCGGCAAATATTTAAAAGATAGGGGAAATGGCTCTGCTATTTATCAATTTTATATAGACAAACGCGTCATTGGGACGGTACTAATGGATATTTTTGGTTGCTATTGAAAATTTAGTCGATTGCTGAATTTATGTATGGACCCAAATTAAGGACATTTAGGCCGACATTACATCCATTTCCCCTATTTCTTGTGAAATCAACCGCAATATCAGCAATGTTGCACTAAAAATTGAAAACATTTTCGTTGTTCATGCGAACCCTGATGCTCAAAATTAAACGAATGGAAATTTTACGCGGCGAACAAAGTTCAGAATACCTTCGTTGAATTCCACTTGAACATGAGGAATGCCAAGGATTCAATTTATCATTAAAAAAAATCACTGAAAAAAATAGACGATAGTGGCCTCTTTATCACTGCTGGAGGAGGCAAATTCAGAAGACACAAATGTTATACACTCTACACAACGAACCAGTCAACCAACTCCATCATATCGGCGATAAACCAGCAGCCAACAACCGGTAACCCGTACACAGAGTACTGAGTGTGGTTCTACAGTCGTAAATCACCAGGCGGATCTATAAAAATCGCATGATTAATGATGAGTTGGTCATTTGGTTAAAACAGTTCCCAGTTGGTACTGCAGACGAGTCAAGTGATGAGATGAGAATTTTCGCTCGGGTGCTGATCATCGCTCATCACGGTATTATCTAGTTTTATGTAAGATTAACCTACGATGTGTTCAATTTCGTTAATTCATCGTTTGGAACCCCGAACACGGAGCGAAAACAAGAAGAAAATCCTTTCAATCACGAGGCACCTTCCATATCTACGAAAGCCTTTTCTGAAGAGCCTCTCATAGGCGGGAAATCACGCAACCTCCAGATATGAATGTACCTTCTTGGAAGTGTTACAATCCCAACGCTTCTTGAATCAGCTATTACGAAAATGAAAACATAAACCAAAAGTGATTGTTACCTATCCATGCCTGGCATGGCATCAGTAGAGCAACATAGAAGGTGACGACGTAATTTCGTTAAGTCGATGATTTGAAGGGAATGTTTTTAAGCTGCAGCAACAGCAGCACTCTCCATGAAGCCTCGGATAAGATAGAGCCAGACTCTCGAGAGCTCCTCGCGCGCGAACCCATTGCACCAGTTTTTGGTTAAGCGCCTTTCAAATTTTCCGCAACCGCTGATCACTGCTGACTGAGGTGGTAAACATGTCACGCTCTTGTGGTGTGAAAGTGTGCCGTGGTTTGACCAAACTGGCTCCATCGAACGTTGCCACGACGAACGGTAGGGTTTTGACTTTTGATCAGTCAACCCGGATGATCCTATTGGTGTGTTTAGCTCTAAATACATGAGTTTACCAATTAAACGCAATTCCGATGTTAATTATCAAGTAAACAGCGCAGTAATTGGACAGGCCAATCAAAATAATTTTTCAATTAAACCAACGCTTCTTTAAGATCCTCCGTACCGACACAAACCCACCCGAATAGCCTCGACACCGCCAGGTGATCTTGCCAGCCAAACCGGTAACTCGAAGATCTTGCCATCAAAGATGTGCGCTCGCTCAACAAAGCCTCATTTATTGAACACTCTCTCATTGTTCTTAACGAGCTCCCCCGATTCCCCTCGCGGCAAGATCTCGCTACCTTCAGTCAAGATCATGTCAAAGATCGTGTACAACTCTGAACATCTGAACACTGAATCACGCGGTGATGGCGGGTAATTTACCTTAGAACGTTTGCTGTCGTCATTGTATACATATTTAGTTGTTGCCATTTGATGGAGGGTGGATGCCGTGGTGGTGGTGCAGTGGCAGATGCTACTAAAAAGTGACAACTGCACGTACGCCATCTGTCACTCAGCACAAAGCCAATGAGATAATTAACTGTGTTGGAAGGTAAGATTTACCTAGTTCTGGCAGGTTCCCGCGAGCCGCGAAAGGCTAATAATAGCAGCGATAGTATTCGATTTCATAACATCGATCTCGATCGCGGTTAGATAATGGATGGATGTTCTAGAAAACGAAATGGAAACCGAGAAACACGTTTGAGACTTTGCGATATGTGTTTTAATTGGATCGTGTGATGAAAGGGTAGCTCAAAACTTGAAAGCTTTAGAACAGAATTTTGTAGACTGCTGGCTGCTGACCAGCGAAATGTAGTGGAACCTGTTTGGCGGCTACGACCAGCAAACGAGATTGGGGTTTTGAAAATGTCAATGATGAGCTGGCGAGATAGAACAGGATCTACATCTGTGACGATGATCATCTGGAATTTGCTGTTTGGCATTCTTTGCTTTGGCAGAATAAATTTTAAAAGCTGCCAGCTAATGTGTTTCGATTGCGCCTGCTAGATTTATGGCCACATGAAGCAGCATGCTTTCCAATTGAAAAAGATGCATTTGAGCAAATTTAATCCATTTCAAACAGTTTGGACTTTTGTCACATTAGTTGGTTTAATAATATTAGTGCAAATAGAATACGATTACATTTATTTAAAAAATGGTTTCCCGAACCCATTTATGGCGGGAGCTAAGATTTGAATTTTACCCAGGTAACCAAAAAATACTTTAACGCAGTACTGTCAATATTCGCATCATATGAAACCTTCATTGATCATCCTACATAATCCATGGCTGGTATAGTGCAATAGAAGGTGAAATAGCTGAGCATAATAGTCCTACTACGACAATCAATAACAAGCAGTACCAACATATGTCATATTCGTTTTTGCAATGCAGTTAAACCAATGCAGTGGTGCCAAAAAACTAGAGCCATGGACAGCTCACTAGCATTTATTTGTAAAAAAAACGTAGATCCTATGTCTACATCTTTAATAATTTTGGTTTACGATTTTGCTCTACACCGGTATACACTTTATTTCAAAACTACCCAAATTTGGGTAGAATCCACTCGAATCGGTCAAAACTGGGTAACATCGGTAACATCGACATGATTCCAATCGACTTTGTTCATTTGTCAACTTGTCACTTCCAACATAAATCTTACCTATAGTTTACCCATTTTCGGGTAGGTTCAGTTTTGACCAATCCTTGCGGATTCTACCCAAATTTGGGTAGTTTTGAAATAGCGTGTAGTGCAGCTTAAAACGAAAATTATATCCCTAGGCCTGATTTTTTTTACCTGATCTTGGTTAAGAAAAAAAATCACATATTTCATATCTTGAGCCATATGCTGCAACAAATTTACTTGCAAACCAACATCAATAATTAATCCATTACAATTACACACTATTTTTTTTAGGTTTTTTTTTAATTTAATTCTATTTACTGACCAATATAGAATTAAAAACAGCTTCTCCGAAGCTCATTCAGTTCGGCCGGTGGTGAACTTTTTAACGGTGCGACTGAGTTGGGTGTTCAAGAAAATGAACTGCAGCAGTATAGGTCACCTCTCCGTGAGCGATCGAATGGTTTGTTTGCTATTTCGTTGACTTGTCCTTGCAATTGTAAGATGTGGTGTTGTTGTAAGATACATGTACAGATGATGCAAGGAATCCACACTTACATTTGATATTCAAGCCATAATTACAGTTTCACAAAATCATGCCATTCGCAAATCCTGCACGTACCAACCTCAACCTCACAATCGTATCTTGCTAGAAGCAAATACCCCTCATATTCTTAAACCCAGGTTCGTGTTGTTACTTTCAGATGAACTTACTAATATTAGTGCTGGCGTCACTGATCGCCTTCTGCATAGCCGAACCAAAGCCTGCCATCAATGAAATCAAAGCGAACCAGCCACAGCAGAAGCCGGGCCGATTCCTAACACTGCCGGTGCCGGAGAAATGCGCGTCACGTAAGTACCTACTCGCCCCTCACCTACCTTACCTACCTTATGCATGAAAATGAAACGATCGTCCACCAGTCGGTCTATAGATTTTGAATGACCAGCCAACAAACCGGCTCTTACGACATCTCAACCAGTACCCGCACGCTCACTCTTACAGAACGAACGCAGGATCGAACTAGTCGTGTGTGTCAAAATCCAGTTACCAGAAATGGTATTTTTAGACACCCTTTTTTCCACACCGAACCATTTAACTGTCAATCGTTGATCAAATTTGTTACAAATTAAATCTAAAAGAGCGATTATCAAAACTTGATTAACGTCGTACGTGTAAATACAAGCTTTTACCATCGAAATTTGGTCACCCAAACCTTAGAAAGAAAGGCTGCGGGATGTCTCAGGGGGACGCAACGGAGAAAGACACGAAACACACTGTGATGTCTTGAAAAATAAATCTCCTCAACTAGCGCCGTGTTTAAATTACTACTCTACAAGACCTTGAATTTTAATTCAACGAAGAGGCACCCGCAGTCTCTTCCTCGCGTACATCATCCGCGTCCGCTCTTCTTCTTCTTCTTTCTTACTTCTCTCTCCCCGTGAACGAACGTTGTCGCGTCAGGTTCTCAAGTTCACATAAATGCATATGAGCTCATGGATGGAACCAAACAATCCACACAGGAGGAGGCGGGTTTGAATGCTGATCTTCACTTCAAGCAGCCGAAACCAACCCCCCCCCCCCCCCACACACACACACCCTGTTACGCGTTGACGACGTCGTCGTCGTTCGTCGGTGACTTGTTTTTCTTCTTCTCTCATTCTCGTTCCGAATTAGCGCACCATAAAATACCTACTTAGTCAAGTTCACGTAGGATTCGGTATCTTTTCACCACGAGACAGCATCCGCCGGCAATGAGTTGGCAACTGGGCAAGAATCTTGTAGCCAGCTCGAGCAAAAGAGCTTTTGAATTTCCCGTACCTACGCTGGCTGGCATGATCGTTTGGAATTCGACCGCTGCTGCTGGAAGGTGGGGGGATGTTGGTGCCGTTTCCCAAAGTTATCGCTGTGCGATCCCGGATGTATGGAGTGCACCCGGGCTTTGCTTCGGGTTCGAATTCCCGATCAGTGGTCGGCTGGCAAATCACGTGCATGACAGTGTGATTTGCTGCCGATTGAGTTACCTAGCACTTTTATCCACACCTGCGGGAGCTGTGATAGTTCCGTTTTCTGAATGCGGTTCAAACTAGTTATAGCCAGTTTATTTAGTTGTTAGATTTATTAGTTTTAATGTAAACAATATTCATTGCATTGATATCTCAGCGATAATGAAATTTAATATGTGAAATTTTTATGGTGAAACCACATAACATATGTGGAACTTCGAACTAGATGCCTTTCGAAAAGTGAAGCCATTTTACTATACTTAGGATTAAAGAGACTGAATTAAGTTCATAAAAAATTCAGGCTTTTTACTTAGGAGGTATTCCATTTGGTGAATATTCACTTAAATTTGACACTTCGAGAATAAATTAAGATGTTCGAGAATCCCTCTGTTGTTGACTGGTCGATTTTCGAGAAGGCGTATGTCAAAATTGATTCCTGGTCTGTGAGAAATAAGTCTGCGGGAATAGCAGGTTTATTTGAAGAAAATTCATCTGTCGAATTGAAGTGAAAATTCATTAAATGTAACCAAGTCTAAACTAAAAAAGCGCCACTAACGGCGACTTCCCCACTTAAAACCCTGATGGCACTGGCGTTGCACAACTTACACTAGACACTAAGTGCTGGTCTTGGCGCTACCAAGAATAGAAAATTTATCGATACTAGTGCCTAATTGGTCGAAATTTGGAAATTTTATAGATAAAATCAGGAGATGCTAGCGCCACGTAACGCCGATATTCCCACTTATCTTTACACTAGTTTCTGACCGAAGTTGGACGACTGTTCTCTGTGCTAAAATTGAATTCATCGAACTGAAATTTGAAAACAGTTTGGATGTCTGCGACAAGTGCTGTCAGGATGCTGAATAATTTTCTAATAGCTTAATCTCACGTGCGAACATGAAATTATTTGATTAAGGATGAGTACGAGTATTATTGCTCCATTATTTATCGAAAGATATGGCTCGTCAATCATATTGCTAATCTCCGTACATCAATAGCTAAGAGGAAGAGGAGACAAGTGGTTAATTTTTGCCTGTGATGTGTTCTTCTTCTCTCGCGGAAACGACCGTGCAAAAATTATCTTATGGGAGACGAAGTCGACTGTCAAAATGCAAAAAAATATATTCCCTGTTGTAAAAATTTTCGCACTTCTATACGTTCGCCCAACCAATCAGGCGCAGGTTCGAGTTTGACAGAAAATTGGTTCATAAAAGGTCCCCTATTGTCTCCTCTTCCTCTTAGATCGATTGTGTCTCTCAAACTAAATAGTGTCTAGTGACATTTTATTATGTTTGAAAAAAAATCGATGTCATCCATAAATACACAGCGCCTAACGTACTCGGAAAAAAAATCCGTTTCCATATTCGGAAGGAAATGTACACCGTGAACTAGGGTTTTTGATCTAATTTCCGTCCTACTAAGCACAACCCGAGCTTAACCTTTCTTTTTTGAAACTAGCCTCAGGCTAAAAATCTCTATAACAAAGAAAAAAAAAAAAAAAAAAAAAATTTCTTTTTTGAATGGGTTTGAACAAAAATTTGAATACTTCTGTCAAAGATGAATTCTAAATTTATTCACCTTTCCATTCGTACCGTTGGATTTGATAAAGTGCCACAAATTGTTGAAATATTGTGTGAAATCTAATACTGCTTCTTGATTCTAAATTCTTCCTACGAGTTTCAATTCCGTCCTAACGCATTGAAACACCATTAAATTTCCTTCGTCCTACGGATAAACGTAGAAAAAGGGGATTCGCATAGGAGCGCTTCTTTTGTTTTGTGAACAATGAGCGTAAATATTCATACAATGCGCGCTAATAGCCTATTGGTCCCAAGCAAATCGATTAACGTACTCCATTCTAGTCGAAATTCTAGTACTACACTATGTTTCTTCTTCTTTTCCTTTATTTAACGTCGGTCTTTGTTCCGCAATCTAGTGCCAATCACCGATGGACATCGATTGCCATCCATTGACGGCAATCGAATGTGCAGGAAGGCAGCTTCCACACCTGCGTAGGATATTGCACCCATTCAACAAACATGGACCAACGGCTTTACTTCCCTTCCGAAGGAAGACGTGACCAGAGATTTTTATGCCTTAGAAAAATCCCACCGATCTCGGCTGGGATTGAACCCAGACCCATTGGGGTGTTAGAAAGCAGTCACGCCTACCACTACACCACCGACGCCGGCTACACTATGTTTGTTTTGATTCGCTATGAAAGTTTGACAGATAAAATTAGGGGTTCGTGAATTTTCCTATGTTTCGAGAGGTGCATCGATTAGCTTGTGACCGAAGAGAGTACCAGAGCTGAGCCAAAAAGTTGAGCACATTTCTTCGGGACCTTATAGTCTTAGAGTTACCTATTTGGTGAAATCATTGATATTATTGATCTTTTCTGATCGATAGAACGGAAATGGGCGATTACGACGAAGTAGTGCTCTACCCTATAGATCACGGCTCTAGTTCACGAATATGGGAACGGATTTTTCTGCGGGTAATGCTAGGCTAGAGGATTTGTTATTCCTGTGGATTTATTCTATTGCAGCTCTTCGTTCATCTTGGTTAGTATCTTCATGAACATCTAATTAACAACGTCGAATTGTCCGCTCTCACATCTCCGAAAACTACGGAATTCAAATACCAATGTTTTTGTTTGTTTACATATCGTTCATGGTCAAGAAACTCAAATCCAAATCTTACGAGTGTCGTAAATTAATTAATTTATAATTAATAGGGGAAATGGCTCTAATGATGGCCTATGGATCTAAATCTAAGATTGGGCCCATCGCTAAAAATCTGCTATTTATCAGTTTTATATAAATAAACGCGTCATTGGGACGGTACTAATGGATATTTTTGGTCGTTATTGAACATTTTGTCGACTGCTGAATTTATGTATGGGCCCATATTAGGTACATTTAGGCCGACATTACATCCATTTCCCCTCATTTCTGAATGTTTTTAAGATATTTTCTGAATAATTACAAGCGAAAATAATCAAAAATGGCCTACAACTTTGATTGTCAGTTCCAATGGAAACATGAATGGATTTCTGCCAATTTCTACAAAGCATTTGATGATTTGATAAACAAAAAACGAAAATGTGTGTACGCAATGGTAGGTCAAGATCTTTTTCTCTGTTTGTCTTAAATAAAAAAAGAGGAATGGTTAGTGAAAATCCGAAATAAATTTCACAGATCAAAATTTGTTTCTTTTTTGAAAAAAAAACTTTGAAAAATATAAAATGAGGAATTGGAGTAAGCGGAGAAATTTATTTGAATTCCGTTTTATGTTTTCATAGCCATCGTTAACATTCACTAGAAGTTTATTCACCTAGACTGCAGACTTCCCCGATGTCAAAATTCACAAGCCCTGAGGAAGTCTGTAAAAAATGGATGAAATATGTGCATCTGCCCAGTGCTGAGATTTGTCATCGTCATTGACAGATTTTCGCGATATATGACGAAAAGTTCCACAGCGCTATATTTGTGTAAAATGAAAATATTCATTTTGCATTTGATCCTCAAAATCAACCTCACCAAGATGAAGACGAATATTAATATTGACAACAACACTGGCGATAATGAACATCTAGCCATGAATGAAGAAAAACTAGTGTGGACTTCGATAATCAGAGGTTGCCTTGATCAAGATAATGTTGTTATACACTCTATTTCAAAACTACCCTAATTTGGGTAGAATCCACCCAGATCGGTCAAAACTGAACCTACCCAAAAATGGGTAAATTGTGTTGGGAGTGACAAGTTGAACAACGTCGATCGGATTAATGTCGATGTTCTTCATTTGTCAACTTGTCACTTCAAACACAGTTCACCCATTTTTGG